AAAAAAAAGACTAAAAAGTTAGGAGATATGAGCTATTCTCTGACAGAAGCTTTGAATTTTGTAAAATAAGAGATTTGTTAACCCTCACAATCAAAATAGCAATTATTGTCGTTATTCGAAAGATGCAGGTTGGAAGACGTTAAAAAGGATATGAGCTATGAGCAAGTAAGTTGTCACTCGATCGAAGCAAATCAATTTTTCCTATGACAGCTTGCCAACCGCATAGTACAACAGGATGAAGTTAAAACAAAAGAAAGACCTCTGACAATCTTAAAATGAATTCGCCCTGTAAAAGCTGAACAAAGATCATTACGATTTCACTAAAAGTACCTAAATTACAACAATTCTCTGCCCTTTGCTCACAATTTTGATAAATAGAAAAATAAAACAGAGAACATTCGAACAATTGATGTTAACCACGCAGAGGGTTTAAATTTGCCTAAATCTATTCGAGAAGCAATCCCAGTTAAGATTGAAGTTATCAAAATTGCAAGCAAATTGTCTGCAATTATGGCAGAGTTGGAAAAAGATGTCTTATTTTCAAACAGATTCAGTGGCTTTATTTTCATAAGTCCCAATATTCTAAATCGTATCGTTCAGTGATGCATCACAAAGCAGACGTTAACCAGAAGCCCACACTCATTACCAGAAGCCATTCGTTCAACTAATTTAATCAGTGGACGAGAAAATTAAAGGACGACATACGGCACCAAAATTACTCAACCAGTTAATGGTGAGGCGTCCATCCTGTTCTTTGAGATAAAACAGCCAAAACGTCGAAATCAATACTAATTCGCATTTTCTGGCTAACTGCAGGTTACAGACAGGCCTACATGGCCGTAAACATAAGAGACTTTTGAGGTATTTCCAAAATGAAAACGAAAGTTGAAAGAAACGAAAAGAAACGAACTCGGAAGGCTTCGCGAATCTCCTCTTCACTGTCAGTATCCTTCATTTTCCTCGCCATCATAGTGAGGAACTCGGGAAAATCAATGGTTCCGTTTCCTGAAATTGGAATTGAAAGTCACCTGTAAAAAATAACAGATGCCAAAGAAAAGTGACAAAATGCAAAGCTTACCATCTGCGTCGACTTCATTAATCATATCTTGCAACTCAGCTTCGGTGGGGTTTTGGCCAAGCGATCGCATAACAGTTCCCAATTCTTTGGTAGTGATCGTACCGTCACCATCCTTGTCGAACAAGGAGAAAGCTTCCTTGAATTCTAAAAAACCAGTATTTAAGCGTTTGGAAAGTTTCAAGTCATTTACAAGAACACTTGATAGCTACTAGCATAAGCGCACTACATCCATCAATCAAATATTCTTCAACAAGTGCACTACTCTGCAAAGCGAAGAGCTAGAGAACCCTATTACACTTTTAAAACCATCTTATTGATTTAAACAGAGAAAAGGTTCGTCGAACGCATACCGACAAAACTGCGACACACTACCTTAATGAGAGATGACATGGTAAATTTGAAAATATGCGAATTTCCACAAATGCTCTCAGACAAATCATAAAGACTTTTTCTCACCTTTCACAAAGATATATATATATATATATATATATATATATATATATATATATATATATCT